TGGATGCATTTTTGGTCAATTTCGGACCAAGGTGGATGCATTTTTGGTCAATCTCGGACCAAGGTGGATGCATTTTTGGTCAATCTCGGACCAAGGTGGATACATTTTTGGTCAATCTCGGACCAAGGTGGATGCATTTTTGGTCAATCTCCGACCAAGGTGGATGCATTTTTTGTCAATCGGACCAAGGTGGATGCATTTTTGGTCAATCTCGGACTTCCCGCAGCCCGCTGTGAAAGTACATTTTCGAAGTGTGCGCTGGCAACTCTGTATCGAAGTTGACAGCACACACTTCGAAAATGTACTTTCACAGCGGCCTTCGGGAGCACTATAGGGAGTCAGGGAAGCTCAAACCATGTCCACTTATGCAGTCTAGAGCTTCCCACGTGCATTTCAGTGCACTTTTGAAGCCAAACCCCATTACAGAATACAATGGGCGCGCACACTTCGAAAATGTACTTTCACAGCGGGCCGCGGGAGCAGTCCCAACAGTCAGAGGACCTCAAATGATGTAGACTTGTGGGGATGAGAGCCTCCCGCATGTGTTTCAACGCGCTTTTGAACTGTACTCCACTTCCGCTCACATTTCGAAATTTTTGGTGTCAACGCGGCACTCCACTAGACAGGAGGCTTCAAATGATGTAGACTCGTCGGGTCGATAGTCGTTTTCGTGCTTGCGAAGTGTGTTTCTGAAGTGCTTTCCGTTAGACGGTTCATAGTAGTAGTAGTAGTAGTAGTAGTAGTAGTAGCAGTAGTAGTAGTAGTAGTAGTCGTAGTCGCAGTCGTAGTCGTAGTAGTAGTAGTAGTAGTAGTAGTAGTAGTATTAGTCCTACTAGTAGTAGTAGTCGTAGTAGTAGTGGCAGCAGGGCAGGGCTCCGGGCAGGGCAGGCAGGGCCCGGGGCAAGTTGGTAATTTCCATATAAACACGTATTCAGCAGTGACGACGATCTTGCTTGGCGACATTTAAGAGAGAGAGCCGCTCTCCCTGGTCGACCGGCCCATGCCTCGGAGCCTCTCCAGGCTCCTCTCCTTGGAGGCTCCGGTCCGAGACTCGGTGCCCTAGAATTGTATGGGAAGGGCGGGTCGCTCCTTGGAGGCTCCGGGACTCGGTGTGGGAGGCCGGAGCCTCTCCTGGCTCTTCCCTTTTGGAGGCTCCGGTCCGAGACTCGGTAGTATGGCAAGGGCGGGCCGCTTCGGCCCTGTCCTGAGCCCTGCCCTGCCCTGTGCCCTGCCCAGAGCCCTGCTTTGATCCCTGCCCTGTGCCCTGCCCTGCCCTCTCCCTGCTCCACCGGCCTTGCTGTTCCCTGTTTGCCCTGAGCCCTGCCCTGAGTCCTGCCCTGCCCTGCCCTCTGAGCTCTGCCCTCCGAGCCCTAACCTGCCCCGCCCTGAGCCCTGCCCTGAGCTTCCCCGCTCCCAGCCTCAGCCCCAGTCCGCATGTTTCTTATCTCAACTAGGATAACAACCATTAACAAAATGCGGCTTTTTTTCTTTGAACTGTCTGCATGCCTTGTATCCCAACTAGGACAGCAGGCGACAAGTATCATTAACAAAATGGAGCCTTTTTTTGAGAACTGTGTGCATGTTTCTTATCTCGATTAGGTTAAGCACTGGTATCTGTTAAGACAAGTCGTCGAGAGTCTCCGGCATCTGTACCATAGGCAACTGTGGAAGACTACAAATGTGATCCAGCAGTGCAAACAACTGTGAATCTAGTTAGTAGACTCTCTTTGTTGTGTCGTCACGAAAATGGAAGCTGAACTTGTGTACTGGAAAGATATTCTCTCTTCCTATGTTATGGGACCTTTGGGTGGGTGGGTATTCTTCCAGGTTTGGAAATGCTAGCCAGACTAGAAATTGCTCGACCAAGGCTGCTGAACCCTAAACCCTAAACCCTAAACCCTAAACCCTAACCTAAACCCTAAACCCCTAAAATAGGATGCTCCAAGGAGGGGCCGAAGGATCCGTCTTCGGGGCCGATGGCTTCTACCCCTAGCGAGAAGACCCTTGGATTTCCCAGCGCCTAGAGCGAGTCTCCCGGTTGAGGGTGTAGGGGTTTGGGGTTGAGGGTTAGGGTTTGGGGTTTAGGGCTTAGGGTTTAGGGTTTAGGGTTTAGGGCCGAGTCCCCATCTGGCCTGGAGGTATCCGCCCGGATCGAAGAAGCGCGGCAGCAATCTCCCATTGGGCATAGACCTGGAAGGAAACGCACGGTGGGGTTTAGGCTTTAGGGGGTTGGGAGGTTTAGGGTTTATAGGCGCTCGGGGTCTAAGGGTTTGAATTGAAGATGCACAGCTTTGAGATTTTTCGCTCTAAACCCCTAAAGCCCTAAACAACCCTAAACCCTAAACCCTAAACCCCTGAACCCTAAACCCTAAACCCTAAACCCCTAAAGCCCTAAAGCCCGAAGCCCCAAACCTCCGAGCCCTTTACGGCAGCCGAAGAAGTGCAGCGGACCGAAAAAAAGTGCTAAACATTGAACCTAGCCAGCTCCTTAGGATCCTGCAAAATCTTGTTGGTTCAGGGTAGAGGTTTAGGGTTACGGGTTTAGGGTTTAGGGTTTGGGGTTTAGGGTTCAGGGATAGGGTTTGAACCCAGGGAGTCTTGGGTCTTCTGGGCTCGGAATCCACACAAAAAATGCGGCCCAAATGACTGGTAAAGGTTTAGAGCAATGGCGCCAAGTGCCGGGTCTTGGCCTTGGGGTTTAGGGCTTAGGGCTTAGGGATAGAAGCCTAGAGAATCACAAAGATTATTGCTTACGGACGCTACGGTGCCTCATTATAACTATACTATTTAGGGTTTAGGGTTTAAGGTTTGTATACCTCAAACGAAGTCTTTAGGCCCCTATATTGAAGAGTTTACAGTTGCGGTCAGGGGGTACCTCAACACGCTCCGAGGTGTTCCAGACATGCTCCACCGTGGCAGCGAGGAGCTCGTTGCTGGGGCCAGGAAGGGAGCAATCCTGATGAAGGATTGGGGCTCAGAGCTTTCTGCAGGGGCCTCAAGAGGCTTCTGGGCTTCTTTTGTAGTTGATTTATAAGAAGGGAAACCCTAAGCCCTAATCACTAAACCGGAATTATGTAGGCTTCTATATTAGGGTGGCCAGGATTAAGGCTTAACGCATCAGGGTGGGTCGACCCAGGCACTCTGAACTGAAAGAACTCACCCCAGCCTAGCGCGCAACTCTTGGCGTTGTCGATCTTTGTTCCCTAAGCCGGCAAATCTAAAGCCTGCACCTTAAACTCAGGGTCTTAAGCCCTCAACTAAACCCTAAACCCCCCTACTTAAGGCTTTGCTGGTCTTTCCGGTCTCCTGCAGACTGTGGCACTGCGGCGTCGCATCGAAGGAGAAAGCCAGCAAAGCAGAAGGCAGCGGTGGCGGCGCAGCGTCGGGAAGGCGCCAGCTCAGCATTGCACGGAGGGCCTCAAAGGGATCTAAAGTGGATTTAGGGTTTAGGGCTAAAGACGGGTTGTTGAAGGGCTTACAGGTTTAAAGGGTTTAGGGCTTGGGGCTTGGGGTCCTTGTTGGGGTTGGGGATCTGGGGGATCGGCATAGCACTGTCCGGCCTAGACCCCAAAAACTTACGAGCTCAGGTATATACTATGTAGTTGGTGAGCTCGGGGGGAAGTGCTTTGGGCGTTGGGTTCGGGGCAAGACCGTTGAACCCGGATTGGGTTCAGACTATTCCAGAAGTTGTGATAAGGATCCGGCATTCACGCGGTCGGTCTACTCCTCCTTCGAACCCAGAGACTCCAAGACCCCTTAATTAAGGAATATACCTTAAATCTTATTGGGGATCCTACAATAATTCATGGTATATTCCTTAATTAAGGGGTATTGGAGTCTCTGGGAAGTTTGGGCCGACTGGAGCTCCAGAATCCCGAAAAAGACATATGCTGTGGGCAACATGGAACTACAACGACTACGAAAGCCCCTCAAGGGGCTCATAGGGTTTAGGGTTTAGGGTTTAGTACTTTAGAGTTTAAGGTTCAGGGTTTAGGGTCTAGGGGTGTAGGGTTTAGGGCCACCTCTCTACACCCTAAACCCTTGACCCTTGAAGCACGCTGGCTGCGAAGCGTTTTTTTGCCTGGCTCCAAATGTTCAAGCAGGGTTTAGGGTTTAGGGTTTAGGGTTTAGGGCTAAGACTCTTCAGTTGATACTGCACAGCAAGACTGTTGCCCCCACGAATCGGATCACCCCAGGTCACAACCGATCCATCACCAAGAATGGCAGCAAAAGCGCCGCCACGGGCTTGAATCTGCTGCACAGTCTGCAGCTGCCCCTGGACAGCACTGCTGTCGCCTCCGGAGTCAGCATCACCCCAGGTCACCACAGATCCATCGCCAAGAACGGCAGCAAAAGCACGGTGAGCGGCTTGGATCTGCTGCACAGTCTTCAGCCGCTCCTGCACAGCACTACTGTCTCCACCACGCATCGGATCACCGCAGGACGCCACGGATCCATCGCCAAGAATGGCAGCAAAAGCCCGGAAAGAAGCTTGGATCTGTTGCACATTCTTCAGCCGACCCTGCACAGCGCTGCTGTCGCCACCATAGCGAGCCGGACCCCAGGTCACAACGGATCCGTCACGAAGAATGGCAGCAAAAGCGCCGTCAGAGGCTTGGATGTGCTGCACGGTCTTCAGCTGACCCTGCACGCAACTACTGTCACCACCTCGGTCATCACCCCAGGTCACCACGGATCCGTCACCAAGAATAGCAGCAAAAGCGCCGCTAGAGGCCTGGATCTGCTGCACATTCTTCAGCTGAGCCTGCACCGCACTGCTGTCACCACCAAAGGCAGGACCCCAGGTTACAACCGATCCATCACCAAGAATGGCAGCAAAGGCGCCGCCAACAGCTTGGATCTGCTGCACATTTTTCAGCTCACCCTGCACAGCACTGCTGTCGCCACCAGAGAATGCATGACCCCAGGTCACGACCGATCCATCGCCAACAATGGCCGCAAAAGCACTGGCAGAGGCCTGGATCTGCTTCACATTCTTCAGCTGAGCTTGCACAGCACTGCTGTCGCCACCAGAGGCAGCAGGACCCCAGGTCGCCACGGATCCGTCACCAAGAATGGCAGCAAAAGCGCCAGAAGAGGCTTGAATCTGGACTCTGTTTATGTGATAGGTGAGCGTATCTCCGTTCTGAACCCTGACAGCAATGATCCGCTTACAGGCATCCAGAACGCCTCCAGCCGAATCCAGCAGCCGCCCTCTCCCGACTCCGAGGGCGATCTGCGCCCGTTTTGTCAACGTCTCCACAGTTTCGTTCTGGCCCGCTTGAACAATAGCTGTCTTGCCACTGAGCAGTGAAACTTCCACTGTAATGGACATGCTCCAGACACGAAATGCCCCGGTTTTTGCTCGCTCAAGCCCTCGGGATTTAAGATTTACCTTTCTGGGATCGAGGGATCAGGTTCGGGTCACGGAGTCCGATCCACCGAATAGACGGACGCCCGCTTTAGGTAGTCAGGGACAGTATGGCAGGATCTTATTGCTTAACATCACCTGACAAACCCTACACCCCTCCACACTAAACCCCATAGCCATCAAACCCTACACCCTAAACCCTAAACCCTAAACCCAAAACCCAGATGCCAGATGCAGAAGCCCCAAACCCACCACACCGACCGAGGCTTGAGCCCGAATCGTTTTGCGTGAACTTTAGCTTCTCTATCTCCTCCTTCTCTGCCCCAAGCCCAGGGTATTGCAGGACTGTTGCCTCAAGCATCGCATTTCTCCCTCCCCTAAACCCTAAACCCTAAACCCTAAACCCTATAAGCATCTCATCTCTCCCTCCACGGAGTGCTTCGTTGAAACGCGCATCCCTTCCTTCTGCAAGGACTTCCGAGTCTCTGGGTACCACCCCTTCAGGGCCTGGGGCAAACTGTACGGCAGAATACACGAGGAGTACACCCTAAACCCTAAACCCTCAACCCCTAAACCCTAAACCCTAAACCCTAAACCCTAAACCCTCAACCCTAAACCCTAAACCCTAAACCCTAAACCCTAGATGCCTAGCCAGGATTCAGAAGCCTGCATCAAAAACCTTGGCTTGATGCCACTCGCAATCCGAGGTCTACTCCCTTCTGCGGGTCTATTCCTGTTTAGGGGTTTAGGGTTTAGGGTTCAGGGTTTAGTACATTCTTTGTAGCCCAAGTCAGTGGCGAAGCGTACTTGAGGGCTCGCGGGTATTTAAAGGCACCGAAACTGGAGGTTATAGGTCGTCATGACTACACAACTAACTTACTTAGAACCACGCTTAGGTGTTCCCCCTTCGAAATTCTAACTTATAGCTTACGTTTTGATGTTTTGTAGATTTTAGCTTTCGGGTTTAGGGCCGGGTTTGCCGGGTATGTTCCGAGTCCATGAACAAAGGGGCCTGCCACGCATCGCTGTCCAAATCCTCGTCGCGAAGGCCCCGGGCAACGAGGGACGCAAGCATGGACCCCACTGTGGAGCCAGCGTTCAGCGCGGTTTGGCCTCACTGTCTCTTCCGATTCAAGATTCAAGGTTCACTGTGCAGGGTTCAGGCTGTATATAAGGCAGGGCATCCACGTTCCCAGCCGCCTCTTCCAGAAGCGGGGAGGAGATACCATGGGAGGGAAGCCTAAACCCTCAAGTGCTAGCACATCTGTAACAGAGGTCCTTTGAGAGGGTCGAAGGACCTGGTAATCACTTTTTCAATATGGCCACACGCAGGAGAACGCCAATTCGTATCCCCTCTACCGTACTTCAAGGTCTCTTCATGGCCTTTACCCTTAAACCCTAAACCCTCTCCCAACCCTCCAAGTAACCTCCGGAAGCCGAAAGCCCGAAACAGGAACCTCAACTTCAAGCCCTAACCCCCCCCCCCCCCCCAGAAAAAAAGCCAGAAAAAACCCAGGCAGGAGATCCTAAGCAAGAGACCCCGAAACCAGGACCTGATGCGCAGGATCCCTACTTTCCTTTCCGCTAGGGTTTAGGGTTTAGGGTTTAGGGTTTAGGGTTTATAGGCTTTAGGGTTTAGGGTTTAGGGTTTCATAAGGCCGTTATGGGGTGCTATACGCAGGTCTGAGAATGCATTCTAA